GAAAGGGATGTGGCTTGGAGCATCCCCACCTGGCCCGAGGGGAGCCTCTGTTTCCTCACGGCACCTGGAATGCACCCTTGGCTTGGTGTGGAAAGGGCAGTGAGCTCCCAGCCTGGCTCTGGCAGTGGGTCTGGAGGAACTCCCAGGCTGGACCCAAACTCTGGCCCGGGTCCTAGTATGGCTGATCCTCTTGGAGGGGTAGGGAACCACAGCGCTGGGCTTTGGCTGTAACTCTTTTGATGGGAGCCCTGGTGGTTTAGTTGAGTTCTAGGACGTCTTCTCAGAGCTGAGATTCCTTCTAGCGCTTTTCTCTTCCGTGTCAGTGTTCTTGTAAATACAGCGTGTCCCACCTGAGGCTGGGGTGTGCCCATGGTGGATGGAGAGGGGAGAGGCTGAGGGGCTCCACTTTGGGGCCTGGCATGAGGCTCTCCTGGGACAGGCATGCTGTGCCTCCGGGGTATACACAGCTGAGATCTTTTCAGAAAGGAGAGCAGAAAAGGAGCTCTGCTGATAGGGGAAGCTGGGGCGTTTGGAGGTGGTGCGGATGTGATCCAGTCACAGAGTCAGGATCCTGCCACTGTCGCCATCCAAGCAGCATCTGACCTAGGGCTTGGGACCTAAAGACATATTTAAGGTTCTCAGTAGAGGGAGTGGGAGATTGGGATGGTGGTCAGGATTAGGGTTAGTATTTTACTTAGTATTTTGGTGACTGTAGTTTATTTTAGGTATGATGTGAAATTGTTCATAATATAAAGGCTGGCATATTGCCTTAAAGTAAAGTTAGGTTTTTGGTGTTTGAAAGGTACCCACATTGCAAAGCCCTGCTGAGGAAAAAGTCAGCCTTTATTGTAAGAAAAACGGAGTCTCTTCCTAAAGCCTGAAAAGTAAAATGAGCCAAGTTTTAAATGGAACATGAACATGCTCAGATCCTCCTATGGGGGAGATGCTACTCAGATGGCTCTGGTCCCTGCTCCAGCTTTGCCTTCTTAAGGAGTCCAGAGGAGGCTGCAGGTTGCCTAGGGCGGGAGCCTGGAGTGCAGAGTGGCGCTGCATCCCTTACTCCACGTCATTAGGATGGCTCTTCACGTGGCCCTTCACCTCGAGGCCCAGGCCTTGACGGTGGTGCAGTGCTCTTGCACTGGGGCTGGGGGTGATTCAGGAGCAGCTGACTGGGGACCTGAGCTGGCAGGGGCAAGAATTGCAACATGGTTCTGGGAAGTGATCCCCTACAGCTGATGATGGGAGTTAGGGCCCAAGATGTAAACAACACAGCCTTTCCCCAGCCAACAGGCCTGGCCAGAACAACCCTAGCACCACCAGCTCTGAGAGCCCCTCCTCAGGGGAAGAAGGCAGGGAGCGAAGTTTAACCTCTGTTATACCAGAGGGGAGCAGAGCAGGAGGCTCGTTTTGGGCTGCTCTCCTGGGAGCTCTAAACTTGCCCTGACCTGCGCTAACTGATGCCACAGCTAGTGCCTGCAGGAGGCCTGCTGTGGCCTGTGCCCAAGTATGCAGGAAACTCCCTTTGCCCCTGGCCTCACCTGTAGGGTAGTCACATCCCGGGCTTATGACCTGTGGTGGGGGAGCAGCTGCTTCAGCTTTGGGAAAGGATGGGAGCAGCCCACTGCTGGAGCTGGAAGACTGAGGTCAGGCCCCCTCAACCCTCAGGGGGCAAAGCTCCTAGGGCGGGATGATGGGAGGGAGGGTGGCAGAGGGGTAGGGAGAATCCACATCTGGGAGCTCTGGGATACATCCCCCTTCCTGATGAGTCTTTCAAGAAGGTGGATAGGTCTAAATATTCACACCCACAACCTCCACCCCATATGCAGTAGAGAAAGGTGGAGACTTAGTCAAGAAAGGGACTTCTCTGGAGTCAAGAGAGCCACAAGCCCTGGAAAGGAAATGCCCCCGTTCCTCTCCTCCTCCCAGGCCTAGGCTCCGAGCAAAGCAAAGAACCACAGAGGAGACTGTGAGGTCGGAACCACAGAAGAGAGGACTCTTGTGTCTGCGGTTGAGTGGGAGAAGGGCCAAGTGCCAGACTGGCCAAGGAGAGGAGAGGGCTGTCCCGGAGCTGGTGCAGGACCCTGGAGGTGGTGGGAGGAGGCCGGCTGTTTGAGGCCTGGGCCACCCCAGCTCTCCCTCCAGATTTGCCTGGAGAGGGAGCAACTCTGCAGGGTCAGAGAACTGAGTCGGCTGGCTTTGTCCTGAAAACTGAGTGGTGCAAGGTATTCCTCTAGGGGAAAGTCAAGGACAAGGAACCCCTCCCACTCCTAGGCCCACTTCACCGGCCCAGGAGTCCTGGAGGGGGTTGGGGGGAATCTCTGGCTCTTCTGCAGGCCCTGGATCCCAGCCTCTGGGCCTGCTCCTCCCTCCCTCGGCCTCCCACCCCTCCATGGCCCAGAAGCAAATGATGGTTCTGGCACTGGGACTGCCCATGACCAGCTTAAAACAGAGCCAGGGCTGCCGCCCCTCCCAAGGGGACCTAGTGGGGCAGGGGAGGGAAGGAAGGCAGGGCAGGCGAAGTTGGCAGCGGGAAGCCCCCAGATGCCCGGGCTCCTTTTGTTAGGCGCTCTCCCCTTCGGGCCTCTGATGAAGACTCCAGGCCTGGAAAGAGGATGCCTCCTCCTCCCTCCTGGACCCTGTCAGGCTTAGCCCCTGGGCAGATTTTCACTCTTCGTGGTCACCACCATTCCTAGGGCCACACTATTCTTGTCAGTCTCAGGACAGAGAGAGTGTGTTCTTTCTGGAGATGTTTCCTCCGGGGGGTGGGACGAGGGCCGGGACCAGGAGGGAGGAAGCCAAGTCCTGATCCCTTCCCCCTGCTCAGGGGCCCTTCCCGGCCCCTCCCGACCGCACCCAGGCCCTGGCCGAGCTGAGTGGGTTGGGATGGCCCAAAATAAGAAGCTGATCAAATCCGTCTCCCACCTTCACCCCAAAATAAAAGAGAGAGGAAAAACTTCCTCAGACAACTCCCACGCGGCTTCCTCCCGAGCCCGGTGGGCCAGCGTCGGGGAATGGGTGGGGGTCAACCGAGTCAGTCAAGACCTGCGCTGGAGCCCAGGGCCAGGCCCTCACCCCGCTCCCCGTACGACGCCCCCAGCCTCCCTGCAATTAATACAGAAAAGCAATTAACAAAAAGAGCCTAAAGGCGCCGAAAGGGGAGCAGGGAGCGGAGGCGGCAGCCCGGCCGAGGCCCCGGCTCACAAGGAGACCTTTGTGTGTCCGGAAACGCGGGCCAGGGCGCCAGCGCCGCGACCCTCGACGCCAGGGCTCCGGGCCGGGACACAGAGGGTCCTCTCGGGAAGGCGGGGGATGGGGTGGGGGTCGGGCCCGCTCCGCCGGCCACCCCCGACCGCACCGGGCAGCCGACGCGTCCGAGGAGGGCCGGGAGCGCCAGCGAGGCGGCGGCCGCAAGCGTGGGGGGCCCGGGCCAAGGGGCGCCGTCCCCGGAGCCCTCCCGGCCGGCAGAGCGCCGGCGAGCGCGGGCGGGAGAGCGCCTGCGAACTGGAAAGTCGAAGAAACAACAAACTCTCGCACATGACAAGAAACCAGGACAGCGCGGGGTCTGAGCGGAGTCCAAATATTTATCAGGCTCCCGACCGGTTCCAGAGCTGAGCTCAGAGCCCAGGGGAACTGGGGAGGGGTGGGGAGTGGGCCCCGGCAGGAAAGTTCTTCCAAGGAAAGGAATGGGAAAGAAAGTCGGCGGCGCGCCCGCGCGCGCGTGGGGGGGTGGTAGTTGGAGGAGGCAAAAGTTGGATCGACTTGGAAGTTTGGAGATGAGGAGGGAAAGGAAAGGAAGGGGGACCCTGCAGGCCGGAGCAGCGGAGACGCCGAGGGCCCTCCTCTCCGAATGGGGGCTGTCCCCTCGGAGACCACCGGGCTCGCCTCCCCGGCGGGCGCGACTCCGGGCAGGGCCGGAGGAGCTCACTTACTTCGGGGCTGAAGCTGCTTTGGGCAGAGCTGAGGGAGGCGAGCGCGGAGGCGAGCGCGAGCAGGGGGAGCAGCAGACTGCGGGCGGGTCGTGGGGCGAGAGACATGGTCCGCGACCGTCCGGGCAGCCGGGCCGTGCGGGCTCCGCGGCGGGGCCCAAGCCCTGGGGTCGCACCGCCACTCCCTCGGGGCGCCTTTTGTCTTCCGTAGGCACTGAATTTGGTTTCCTAGAGCGCTGTCCGCTTGGAGATGAGGGGATTGTTCTTGAAAGTGCCTGTTTGCTCGTCCCCGCTTTCCCGTTTTTTGATCTTTCTTCTGCTTAGTCTGCGAACTGGATGGCGAGCCCTCTCTCGCTCTCTCCTCTGGTCCCTCCCTTCTCCCACAGGCTCCCTCCGCCCCCGCCCCAATGCCCTCCTTTCCCGGTGCGGACGTGGTTGTTTCAGTCTGAATCCAATTACAGCCAAGAGCAGGGTAAAAAAAAACAAAACCTAAGTTGCCTTTCTGTGGTGGAGGCTGCCATCTGCAGGGGTTGAGGCCACAGCCGAGAGCGGGGGGCTTGGGGGGACTCAAGGGACGGGATGTGGGAGACTTTCCCCTTCTAAGCATATTTTGGGTGGCTTGATTCCTCTGCTTCCACCGTTCGTCTCACCTTCGTGGGAAGCACTGGGAAGCTCAGAGCCTGGGCTTGTGGGGGCATCTTCCATGTCCACGAGACCCGGTGTGCGGGGTCATCTGCTAAGGCCTGTGGCTCAACCGTATTGAAAATTGTGTCCCTTATTCTTGTCAGCCACCTCTGTCCCTCCCCTAACAAAAAATAATAATAAACAAAAGCAACAATACCGAAACCCAACTACCGACTGACAAATCCCACCACCACACTGGATCTGGGGGTCCTGTCCCTGGAGAAAGATGAATGCGCCCCCTTTTTTATTGTCCTTTGCAATCTGCTGCCCCTTGAATTAGAACTGGCTGGGGAGGAGAGGAGGGCAAGGCCATGAAATGCGGGGAAAGGCAAATCAAGTTTGGTGAAACTGCAGAAAAGAGAGAATGGGAGTCAGGCCTACGGGGGTTTAGTTCCCGCTCTACACCGGAAAAGGAGACAATCCCTGAGTGTAATCTCCTCCTTCAGGGGCTGACTAGACTGAGAACAAAAGGTGGAGGTATGAAGGGAAGGGGGAGGGCAGGCTAGAGCTGATGGTGGGAAAGGGAGACAGATAAGAGGCTGAGGGCTAGATCTGGAAAAGCAACACAACAGAGGCAGGAAAAGTGTGGGACACAGAAAACCCAACCATCAGCGAAATCTAAGATCCAGGAACTGCATTGGTCAGCGAAGAGAGGAAGGGGGTTGGGGGGGGGGGGGGGGGTGCGGCAGAGAAGGGAGGGAAAGAAAGCAAGGAAAGGAATAAAGGAGGCTGGACAGAAATTATGTCAGGTAGGAAGTTCCAGAAATCCTAGAGATAACTGTCACATTATTTGTGGCAGGAGAATGGAAGAAAAGCCCAGTGCTCAGTATTGTAATGGGAGCAAAGGTCCTTTTTCCCTCAGAATCCATGGGAGGAGCCATGATCAATAAAATGACAGGTTTCCCTGGGGCCTGTGCAGCTAACAGATCTGTGGGAAGTATATGGTGGCTATTAGGTACCTATTCCAGTCACTGTTTGGGGGCTGAGCACCGCAGGGCTCCCCTGCACAAGTGGGGGTTGGGAAGTACAGGCCTCTCTCCAACCAACCTCTGCAATTCAGTCAGAACCACAGAAACCTCAGGATCCCACTCTTCAGCAGAACATGCAACACCCAAGTCTGCTGTTCCCGTGTCAGCCTTCCCAGTGGGAGTATCCTCTAGGGCCATGTATCTGAAGTTTACAAACACTGATACCAGTTGCCTGCCAAAAAGTGGATCTCAGCTGGAAAGGCTTTTTCATCAAAACATTTATTAATGCGTAACTGCACGAGGCCTGAACTGTATGGGCTGTTAAAGGCTTGAGTGTGTGGCTAAAGCCAGGAAAACTGTGGCCCCCTTTTTCATGTTTGCAGAGCAGCAAAGTTGGGCCAGTCCTATGGCCTGCAAAAGAGGGGGTCAA